CCAGCCACTCAGCCAGGCCCAGCCAAGTGGACACACAAACTACCATAGCAGTTTCCTCATTAAGATAGACTAGGAAGACAGGCCTGACAGTCTACTTCGGAAAAGCATCCAGTGAACATCCTATGGGTCGCAATGATCTGATCCCCCGGCGGTCCTGGGTGTGGCTCAGGACCAGGCAGCATTTGGAGCTGTCGTGCCCAGGGTCCCTGTGAGTGGGACAGCTCACAACAACAGCTTTCATCACTAAGCTAGCAGTGCCACACTTTGATGAATTGCTTTGCCCTACTGAGATGATCCATGCCTCTGACCAAAGCTAACAGCATAAGCCGACATCTGTTACTGGTATTTCAACATGGCTAAGTAAGTTTTTTTTTTTTTTTCAATCTTTTTTATTCATTGTGATTTGGGTGATAATTCACAGAGCAAATTGGTCACCATTCAACAGTTCATGCACATTATGTCTTGTGACATTCATTGCAGTGCCCACAATGCAACAGCACTCTTCCCGCTTCCTCCCTGTGCTTACCGTTTCCCTTCATCCCTTCTTTCTAGCCCTTCCTGCCTTCTTAGCTTTATCCCCGGGCAAGCAGTGCCCTTTTGATCTCATATGGGTGATTGTTCTAAGAAGTTCATACCTCCCTGGTGTTACTGTTCACCTTATAGACCTATCATTTGACTGAAAGTTGAGCCACAGGGTTGAGTTCAGTTCCCAGCTAGGAGGGTGTCTAAGGTCCATAGTCACAGGGGTTCTACCAGTCTTCATCAAACCAGGAAGCCTGGTCTTTTTTTCTTTTTTCAACTGAATTTTTGAGAAAGTACCCTGTAGGGTTATATACTAAGGGAAAAGAAGTTAAACTCAAAGGCTCCTTGTTGGAAAAATTATGCAGTGGGCAAGGTTTTGTCCCCACTGCTTTCCTGCCTGCCTTGGACATTGATCCACGTTGGCCGCTCCCTGTGCTTACAGCCTTGTCCACGTATAGCCGTTGCTGGCACACACATCATATTGTGCCCATAGCCCACAACTCCCTCTCTCTGGAGAGAATCATTCCTGACCCCTACCTTCTTAATGTGTTTTAAACGACCTCATGAAAACGGCATTTTGATTTAGTATATTTTTTTTCTCTGAGAACAAATCATTGCAGCGTGAAAGTTGAGACCTTCAGGATGACTCAAGCAGATGTTCTCTGCCCACTGAAGTCTAACATCAGGGGGCCCAAGTCAAATACAGACTTCCTCTTTATTTGTTTAGCTCGTTATTTTATGGTTCTCCATTCCCCTTTGGATCCCTTAATGAGTCTTTATGGGGAGCTTTATTTTTCCATATGTACCTACGTCTGCCCATTTTGAAGTCCTTAGTCCTTAGTCATTTAAGTTTGGGAGTAAGTTGATGAGTTACCATGCTTCACCAGATCTTCTGGAATCACTCATTGCAATGTAATTTCATCTTGGATGTAGTTCCTCTTCTTTAGTGCTAATGGAAATTGTAATGTGTTTTCCGCTGGCACAAAATGCTTTTTTAAATATTGTAGTCAGTCAGAATCTTTCTTTTCTACGTATAAGTAAGTTTTATTTCAAAAGTCATCTGATATTAATAGGATTTTTACCATCTGAAAGAATGTCTCATGTTGGTGGATGTTCTAAATACAACCTAATTGTCTCTCTGTAAAAGGATGTGAGCTTGTGATTTTTATGGTTTAGTGCCTAAGGTATTTGACTGCTAACCAGAAGGTTGGCAGTTCAAATCCACCAGCCATTCCTCAGAAGGAAGGTTGGGCGATCTACTTCCGTAGTGATACCGCCTCGGAAACTCAAGGAGGGGTCACTACGAGTTGGATCAACTCAACGGCAGTGAGTTTGGGTTTTTCTTTGGGGGGGGGTTAGTTTTCACATTTAGGTTTTTAGTCCATTTAGGATTTGTTTCTGTGTATGATGTAAGGCATGGATTTTGTTTCATTTTTCTGCATCTTGTTGTTGTTGTTAGCTGCTGTTGAGTCAGTTCCCACAGTGAGTCCAGAGGCAGAAACTTCTGACCCTGGGACTTTGAACAGGGGGGTGACAGTTTTAATTCAAGGCAACCAAAGGGGAGCCTGACCCCATGTGAGGTCCATTTAATGTCTAGAAACCATGAATTTAAACTGAATTGACCCTCACAGTGCATTCATGCCAGAACACAGTACAATCTATGAAACAAAACGTAAATCGTATTATCCTGCCTTCAGCTCACTATGCAAACTTTTGGGGACCTTCATGACATAGAACACAGAAGGTAAAACCAGTTATAAGAGGAGGGTAGGAGACTTGATTGTAGTGATTCCACAAAGACCCTCTACCCTAAACCCCACCCTCGCCAAAAAAAACAGCAAACTCACTGACATCGAGTCAATTCTTACTCATAGAGACTCCCTTTGGGTTTCTGAGGCAGTAAATATTTATGGAGTTAGATTGCCCCATCTTTCTTCCACAGAGCAGCTGGTGGGTTTGAACTGCCAACCTTCTGGTTAGCAGTCTACTCCAAAGGGGACTCATTTATTTTGTTATAATATTGCTAATTCCTTATTTCAAACTGCAAAACCATTAACTTCCTATCCACTTCGTATCAGTTAGCTGCTCATTTCTATTTTTTTTTTCCTGGCTCTGCAGCACTCTAAAAAGAGGTAGTCTTTGTGCTGAGAACCAAAAAAAAAACAAACAATGTCACTGCTATCGAGTTGATTCCAACTTGTAGCGACCCCCATTGGGTTTCCGAGGCAGTAAATCTTTACAGAGGTAGATTGCCCAGTCTTCCTTCCATGGAACCACTGGTGGGTTAGAACCACCAACCTTCTGGTTAGCAGTCAAATGTCTTATCAGGGATAGACTGGAGGCAGATAGCGTCACAGACTGCTGGGGGCCACTGTCTGTGTGTGATTATTATAACCTGAGGGCTGACAGTGAAAAAAGGTGTGTGTGCACAGCTACTTTAGAACAGGAGGCTGTCACATGTAGTTTCCTGTCCCTTGTTGCTGATGTCACTGTAAAATCTGTGACTGGGTTGTTGTTTTTATGCGCCATCGAGTCAGACCCGACTCATAGCGACCCCTCCTTGGGTTTCTGAGGCAGTATCACTACAGAAGTGGATTGCCCCATCTTCCTTCCGAGGAGTGGCTGGTGGGTTTGAACTGCCTTAGGCACTACGCTACCAGAGTAGAGGCATCTTATTCACATTGTGATTTTCTTTCCTTCAATTCAGTCCATTGCCTTCCTTTAATAAGTAAGATCCTTTATCTTTGCTGTTCATGCTTTTGTTATTATATCAGATAATCCATTGTTAAAATCTAGGCCCAACAGCCTTGCTCTGCATTTTCTTCTAAGATTTTTATGGTTTAGTGCCTAAGGTATTTGACTGCTAACCAGAAGGCTGGCGGTTCAAACCCACCAGCCACTCCTCGGAAGGAAGGTTGGGCAATCTACTTCCGTAGTGATACTGCCTCAGAAACTCAAGGAGGGGTCGCTATGAGTCGGATCCGACTCAACAGCAGTGATTTTGGTTTTTTGTTTGTTTGTTTGTTTAGTTTTCACATTTAGGTTTTTAGTCCATTTAGGATTTGTTTCTGTGTATGATATGAGGCATGGTTTTTCTTTCATTTTTCTGCATCTTATTGTTGTTGGGTGCTGTCGAGTCAGTTCCCAGAATGAGCCGGTTCCAGTCAGAATGAAACATTGCCTGGTCCTGTGCCATCCTCCCCACTGTTGCTGTGCTTGAGCCCACGTTGCAGCCACTCTGCCCGTGCAGCTTGTTGAGGGCCTTTCTCTTTTGTCTCTGACCCTCACCTTGCTAAGCATGGTGTCCTTCTCCAGGGATTGGTCCATCCTGATAACATGTCCAAAGTACATCATTGCTTCTAAGAAGCATTCTCTCTGTGCGTCTTACAAGACAGATTTGTTTGTGCTTCTGGCAGTCCATGGTGTATTCAGTATTCTCTGCCAAGACCATAATTTAAATGCATTAATTCTTCTTTGGTCTTTCTTATTCATTATCCAGCTTTCACATGCATACGAGGCAGTTGAAAATACCATGGCTTAGGTCAGGTACATCTCATTCATTCTGCATGTAGAAATCCAATTTACTCAGTACCTTTTATATATATATATATAAATACTTTATTGGGGTTTATGTGAAAGCTTACAGAGCAAAGTAGTTTCCCACTCAGCAATGTATATACGAATTATTTCGTGACATTGATTGCAGTCCCCACAATGTGTCAGCACTCTCCTCATTTCCACCTTGGGTTCCTCGACTGACATGATTTACTAAAGAAATTCCTTTTTACCATTGAGTAGACTTGTCAAAAGTCAGTTGACCATAGATGTGTGGCTTTACTTCTGGACTCTCAATCTTATCCATGTGTCACTGTGTCTATCAATATATCAATACCAGATTGTTTTGATTATTGTAGCTCTGTAACATGTTTTGAAACCGGGAAGTGAGAATCCTCCTACTTTGTTATTCTCCTTTATAATTGTTTAGCTGTTCAGGGCCTCCATAATCAAGACCCTTTAGAAAGCATTAACCTACATAGAATTTTCTGAGAATTACCATTTAATATCCAGCAGCATGTTTGGGTAAAATAATAATTATTTAGATTTAAAAGAAGATTTTAGATGTTCTCAAAAAAAAAATTAATAAGTTGCTCCTGATTCAGCCCTCACTCATGGTGATACCACATGTATCAGAGTAGAACGGTTCAGTGGGACTTTCAGTGGTTAAGATTTTAGAAGTAGATAACCAGGTCTTTCTCCCTCTGGTTGTTCTCACCAGGCCTGAAAGCGATCCCTTTAGTGAAACCCCTTCTGTGGTTTTTTCAAGTTGCCTGTAGAATCCAGTTTTGTCTGCCCACCTTACTTTCATCTTTGGATGATATGGCGTCCCTGAATTTTAAGATACTAGGAAAGAATGATCTCTGATTTTCATTCTAAGAGACTAGCTCTTCTAAACCTTGACTCTTGTTTTCCTTTTTCAGTTCTCCTACTTGGAGAAGCTTCTTTTGGTCCATGGAGCCTGGAGCTACAACCGAGTAACCAAATGCATATTATACTGCTTCTACAAGAACGTGGTGTTGTATATTATTGAGGTAAGAAAGGTTTATTTTGTTTGTTTGCTTGGTTTTCAGTTTAGGATGTAGCTTTTCTCAGAGGGCACATTGAAAGAATTTCAAGGAAGGGGTTTGTTAAATAGAGTAAAAAAAAAAAAAAAAAAAGATGCTGTTGTGACTTTATTGAACCTGTGGCACGAAGGGTCTCCTTGGAAGCTAGTATCCCTCCCAGACGAAGGTTCTCCTGCTGAAGGACCAGCACCAGAAGTCTTCAGGCTTCCGTTGGGAAGTCTGTGACCTCATCCCATGCTTTACGCTTGGTAGATGGATAAAGACCCCCTTGGTCCTAGTGCACTATGCCCACCCTCTTTCCTGTTGCCATCACTGACACCCTCCTTCTCTCTGGGGGCTTCAGAGCTTAGGCTGCAGGTGTTCATGTGCTTTCTGTGGGCCCTGAGAGAGATCTAGGCAACCCAGTTATATTGTCTTTACTGGAATGAACACAGTGGTTAAGCCCTTGGCTCCTAACCAACAGGTTGGCTGTTCAAACCCACCAGCTACTCTACAGGAGATAAAACATAGCAGTCTGCTCCCACTGATACTTCAGGCTTGGAAACCCTGTGAGGCATTTCTACTCTGTCACAAAGAGTCACTGAGTCAGAATTGACATGACAACATCCAACAACAACAAAATGAACAGGGCCCTATTTCGTGTTATGTTTCTCATAGAATCTGTAAGTTTCCTTATGGGAATGAGCTCAGATTCTATTTTCAAACGATTTTTCAAGGTGCTGAGTCAGTTAAAGGGACAGGGGGAGAAAAGCGTGGCACAGGAAGAGTGGAAAAGGCGCTTATGGTCGACAGCAGTAGTAGTACTGGTTACCACCTTGCTTTCCTTTTTAAGACCAGGTCTTCTAGAAAGTTATGCCTCTTGAGGTCATCATGACTAGTGGGTTTTCAATTGCAACTTCTGTTTACAAAACAAAGAAGCAGGCAGTCACTCTGTGGAGGAATTGGAAGCCAATGTTAATTTTTTTTATTGTGTTTAATATCTCATTCTCTTAGGAGTTACTTTATGTCTTATTTTTCAACTCTTAGCAAAAATAACAACCAAGGCACAGATTTGATGAGGTCCCCTAAAATACACAGTTCAGATAATTTAACAAGTGGCTTGCTAACTAAACTGTGATTAATCATTTATTTACCACATTGTCTGTTGTTTCTTGCTGCATCATTCAAGTCAAATGTACAGTATGGTGTTACTCTTCCCATAACAGAGCTGTTGTTGTTGTTGTTATGTGCCGTCGAGTCCGCCCCAACTCATAGCGACCCCTCCTTGGGTTTCCGAGGCAGTATCACTACGGAAGTAGGATTGCCCAACCTTCCTTCCGAGGAGTGGCTGGTGGGTTTGAACCGCCAGCTGTCTGGTTAGCAGGCAAGTGTCTTAGCCACTATGCTACCAGAGCTATTCAGGCTCATTTTCTCAGGTTGGGTAGGTGGCCTGCTGCACAGGCTACCCAGACAAAGGGGCAAATTGGGGCTGAAGCGTAGCCTCCATTTCTTCAATCCTTGAGCAACGTGGGGCCTGCTCATTTGTACCTGCTGGCTGGGCTGCACACCCTGTACAGAAGGTGCCTGCCTCTTCCTGGTTCTTCCTCAAGGGCCATGTGGGCTCAGGCAGTCCTGACTGTGGCAGGGGCTGATACTCCTAAGGAATTTGACAAGCCGTCAAAAGAGATCTGGTTAAAATCCTGAACATGGATCCATTTTCCTAATTTGAAAAGAATCCTTTGTGTGAAATGTCCTGTTAGCTTGTATGAAACAAATAAGGTTGTGTCTCTAAGAAGAAGACAGGCAGGAGCGTCTTGAGACATTTGAAAATGTAATTGCAGTTGTATTCAGTATGGTGAGGTTATAGTCAACCAGTCTTCATCATCATCCATAATTTGTGCCTTGTGCAGCAATATTCAAATCAATCTAATCCAGATAAGAACCTTTAGATGTTGCAATGTAATGGATTGTGTGGGTTCCTGTCTCTTTCCTGCCCTCCTTGTCACACACAGTTCCCACTAGGCACTTGAAGTCTGTCCCCTCACCCTTCCCTGTTGTTTGCATCTGTGATAGGAGTAACTCCCAAATGTCACTTGGGGTCATAGTGTGATGGACTAAAATAAGGGAATACTGGAATCCCCATTCCCATGTGTCATCCTGAGATGACCATGCATTTTAAGCTATGATAGCTCTTGACCTTGCAAGGTTACATAATAATCTGGTTTTCCTCACAATCAATAAATTACAGATAGTGTAGACTTCTTATCGATGCATTCCACAGGAAGCGCCCAACCCTGTAGCTTTCCAGAGCTTCCCTGGGGACCTTTCTTAGTCATTGACACCTACTATCTTGCTTTTTTTTTTCACTTCAACTTGGGTGAGAGTGAGAAGAGGAAGATCTTAGCCTGACTTGGAGGTGGGGGAGGTAACCTGTTTGAAACTCAGCTCTGAAGATACCATGTGTGTTCCTCAAATTAATCTTCTAATTGTAGTCACACAGCACTTCGATAGTCTTCTTTCAACTTCCTTTTAAAACATTCATAAAAGGTTAAAGAAAATTGCTCTGTGCTCAATTTTCTATTTGGTGTTTCTGGGAGGTGCTCATTTGAAAAGCCGGACTAATAGATCCGGATGGAGCCTAGATTGTCGGAGCACTCACTCTGATGTGTCTGCTACTACTATGTAGCTGCTGTGGCACCAGCATGCACTTCAAATGTCATGTTGGAAACAGAAAAGTTCTTCTTGGATGCTACTTTAGTATGGTTTCAACTGTAAGATTTGCTCATTTGCAAAGTGTGCTTTTGCTTTCTAAAGGTAACTTTACGATTAATTACTTCAAACCAAACTAAACCTACCACCATGGAGTCAATTCCAACTCATAGCAACCCTTTAGGACAGAGGAGAACTACCCCATAGGGTTTCCAAGGCTGTAAATCTGTACAAAAGTAGGCTACCTCATCTTTCTTCTGTGGAGTGGCTGGTAGGTTTGAACCACTAACCTTTTGGTTAGCAGCCAAATGCTTTAACCACTATGCCACCAAAACCAAAACCAAACCCACTGCTGTCAAGTCAATGCCAACTCATAGTGACCCGCATTGGGTTTCTGAAGTGGTAAATCTTTATGGAAGTAGATGGTCCAGTCTTGCTTCCACTGACTGGCTGGTGGGTTTGAACCACCAACCTTTTGGTTAGTAGTCAGCTACCTTAGGCACTGTGCCATTAGAGCTCCTTCACTATGCCATGGGAGCTCCTTAATTAATTACTTAAATGGGAATAATTTAAGTATATTACTTATTTTTCTCAATGATATTCTTGTTGCAGGTGGAAACCTTTGCAATAGCCAGTTGTTTTTTTAGTTTTTGGTGTTTTTTGTTTGTTTGTTTTCTTTTGTTGTTAACTTTTATTGTGATGAAAACATACACACCAAGACATTCACCAACATAATGTCCACATTTACCACTCAGGCACATTTGATGACATGTTTTGTCACCATTATTGCCATCCTTTTCCAGTATACTTCACCACCATTAGCATAAATTCAGTGCCCTGCAAACAAAACCTTCCCCCTTCCCCTTACCCCTGGTAACCACTAATAATCTTTGGTATCCTCTCCCCTCATGTCCCTGGTAACCAACAAAGAAAATCCCCTTCTATGTATAAACCTTTCCTTGGCTTTTTATAGTAGTGAACTAATGCAGTAATTATCCTTCTGTGATTGACATATTTCACTCAGCATAATGTCCTCCAAGTTCGTCCACATTATGTGGTGTTTTGCAGATTCTGGGTTACTCTTTAGTGTTGCACAGTACTCCACTGTGTGTACATACAGTTCAGTTATCCATTCCTCCGTTGATGAATGCTTAGGTTATTTCCATCTCTTTGCTGTTGTGAATAGTGCTGCAGTGAACATGGGTGTGCATGTATCTGTTCATATCCTGGCTTTCACTTCTTTAGCATATATAACTAGTAATGGGATTGCTGGATCAAATGGTATTTGTTTCCAACTTTTCAAGGAATCGCCAGACTGATTTCCACGGTGGTTGTATCATTTTACAGTCCCCGCAGCAGTGTATGAGAGTCCCAGTCTCTCCACATCCTCTCCAGCATCTGTTATTTTCTATCTTGTTGAACTTTGCTGTCAGTGCTGGAGCCTGATGCTATTCATTGTTTTTTTTTTATTTCCATTAGAAGCTCTGGTAGCATAGTGCCTAAGGCACTTGACTGATAACCAGAAGGTTGGCAGTTCAAACCCACCAGCCGCTCCTCGGAAGGAAGACTGGGCAATCTACTTCCGTAGTAATACTGCCTCAGCAACCCAAGGAGGGGTCGCTATGAGTCAGGTCCAACTCGATGGCACATAACAACAATAGGCTTATACCTGTATGTTATTTTAAATGCCTTCTGATACAACTAACTATCTGGTCTTTGTTTTTATACTTAGTTATTTAAAACTACAGCCTAAAAGCAGTTTGGCAAATTAAAAAACTACGCACATGTGCACACATACATGTCTTCACCATGATCGTGAAATGATTTTAATTGCCCATAAAACTGCATGGAAGAGCCATAGGCCTGTGATAAGACTGAAGTGATGTAATCTACTCACTGGATGTACTAACCTATAAAACTGGATTTACATATTGTTCTGCTTCCCTGGTGCTGCTCTGACAAGAATATACCACAAATGGGATGGCCTTAACAAACAGGAGTTTATTCTTACAATTTGGAGGCTTTAAGTCCAAGTTCAAAGTGCCAGGCTCTAGGGGCTGGGTGAAAGCCCCTCAACCTTGGGGTCCAGCTCTGCCTCCTGCTCCTGCTCCTGCCCCACTGAAGCTAGAGGCATTTCTTCACTCAGACAGCTGCTGGCTGCTGAGGCTGAGAAGTTCAAGGTTGACAAGTCAAAAGGCACAGTCCCAATGTTACCAAACCACATGGCAGGCCATTCATTCAAGTCCATTGTAAGTCCCAAGGTTGGCAGAGCATGGCAG